AAATACCCGGAAGCTAAATAATGCGCTTCTAAGTAACACGCAGGCCTAAGAAAAAAAATCAAAAGGGAAATTAGGAAGTATCTTGAATTGCATAAAAATCAAAACACAACATATAAACATTTCTGGGATATAGTTGTAGCAATATATATATATATATTTTTTTTTGGCCAGGGTCAGGTTTGAACCCACCACCTCTGGTATATGGGGCTGGTGCCCTATTCCTTGAGCCACAGATGCCTCCCCTCGTTGTAGCAATATTTAAAGGGAAACTGATGGCACTGAATATTTAGAAATCTGAAATCTATGACTTCAGCTTCTAAGTTTAGAAACTAGAAAAAGAAGAACAAGGCTGGGTGTGGTGGCTCATGCGTATAATCCCAGCACTCTGGGAGGCCCAGGCAGGAACATCCCTTGAGCTCAGGAGTTCATGACCAGCTTGAGCAAGAGTGATACCCCCCCATCTCTACTAAAAATAGAAAAATTAGCCAGGCTTTGTGGCAGGTGCCTATAGTCCCAGCTAGTGGGGAGGGTGAGGCAGGAGGATTTCTTGAGCCCAGGAGTTTGACGTTGCTACGAGCTATGATGCCACGGCACTCTACCCAGGGTGACAGAGTGAGAGTCTGCCCCAAAGGAAAAAAAAAGGAGAAAAAGAAGAACAAATTTAACCAAGAGTAAACAGAAGAAAAAAAATCATGGAGATTTGAAAGGAAAACAAGAAAAAGAAAACAAAAGAGTAACAGAGAAAAATCAGTGAAATAAAAATGTAAGTTCTGGGCGGTGCCTGTGGCTCAGTGAGTAGGGTGCTGGCCCCATATACCGAGGGTGGTGGGTTCAAACCAGGCCCCGGCCAAACTGCAACAAGAAAATAGCCGGGTGTTGTGACTGGTGCCTATAGTCCCAGCTACTCGGGAGGCTGAGGCAAGAGAGTCACTTAAGCCCAAGAGCTGGAGGTTCCGTGAGCTGTGATGCAACAGCACTCTACCGAGGGTGATAAAGTAAGACTCTGTCTCAAAAAAAAAAAATAAATAAATAAAGTAAGTTCTTTGAGAAGATCAGTAAAGTTGATAAACTTCTAAGTTGGCCTTACTGATCAGGAAAAAGAGAGAAAGAGGAGACACAAATTAGCAATATCAGAAATGAGGCTGGGCATGGTGGCTCATGCCTGTAATCACAGCACTCTGGGAGGCTGAGGCAGGTGGACTACCTGAGCTCACAGGTTGGAGACCAGCCTGAGCCAGAGTGAGTCCCTGGCTCTAAAAATAGCCAGGCACTGTGGCGGGCACCTATAGTCCCAGCTACTAGGGAGGGTGAGGCAAGAGGATCGCTTGAGCTCAGAAGTTAGAGGTTGCTGTGAGCTATGATGATGCCACCACACCCTCAGGGCAACAAAGTGAGACTCTGTCTCAAAGAAAAAAAAAGATGACATCTCCGTATATCTACAGACAAAAAAAAAGATAATAAAGGACTGTTATAAACAACTTTTTGCCAATAAATTCAACAACTTAAATGGACAAATTCCATGGAATATGCAATTACTCAAGCTCACTCCAGAAGAAATAAGTAGACTACAAAACCCTGTGTCTATTAAAGGAATCGAATCTGTAGTTTAAAAAAAACTTTTCAAAAAGAAATCTCCAGGCCAAGTTGGCTACACTGATGAATTTTACCGCGCATTGAAATATTACGAATTCTACACCTACTCTTCCAGAAAATTGAAGAGGAGGGAACACTTCCAAGCTCGTTCATGAGAACAGCATTAGTTAGATACTAGACTGGGCAAAACATCACAAGGAAGAAAACTACCAACCAACGTTGATTCCTCTTGAACACACAAGCAGAATTTCTTAGCAAAGTTTTAGCAAATCAAATCCAACAATATTAAAATGATAGTCTATCATGACCAAGTGGGGTTTAGACAGCAATGCAAAGCTTGTTTAATGTTTTTATAAGCTAATCAATGTAATTCCCTATATTAACCAATTTTTAAAAAGAAAGAAAAAAACATATAATCATCTCTCTTCCCCCCCCCCCGCTTTTTAAATAAAGGCAATAAAATGATCCCCAAATATTTGGAAATTAAACAGCATCTCAAGGAGGAGAGGGTTTTCTTTTTAGCTGTGGGACAATGAGACTGGATTTTGCCTTTCCTCTTAGACAGTTAGAAAACTGAATTTAATATAGGAAATGATGGCTTTGATTTTACTTTACTTTCTTCTCTCTCCCTCTTTCCCTGCTTCCTTCCTTCCCTTCCTTTCTTATTCCTTATTTCAGCTCACAAAGCATTTGAGAAACATCGTCATATGTTTGTCTCATTAGAATAAAAACTTGCAGCTGGGGCCTGGCTCTTCTCCTGGGTATACCTCATGGGGCCTAAGGACAACACCCTGCAATATTCAATTAATGTTGTAAATGAAATGAATTGTCATCAGCCAGTTCAGAATCATGACTTTACGTAACAGCACATAGAACTTCTAAAATTTGTATTTTGCTTTTTACTTTTCTAAGCTTTATAATTTTACTTACTGTCCTAAGAATTCTGTGTAGTGGTGGGATGGTTTATTATTCTCACCTTCCAGATGGAAAATGTGCCAAGAACCACTTTGTCTATACCGCACTTGGGAGAACCCTCCAATCACACTGATTATCTGTGGAGGGTAATTAGAAGTCCTCAAATCAATCCATTTATTAACACTTTTTTTTTTTCTTCTGGACTTCAGCTTAAAGGCAGCAGAGGGCGCTTAATCACACAAAAGATAACATTCTAAAAGTTAGGGATGTATTAGATTTAAGATAATGCATTACAGTCTCAAAACTTTTACTAAAATAGAAGCCTGTACTTAATCTTTTTCCTATTTTAGGATCTGATACAAAATGTGTTCTATTCCCTCTCTTTCTCAATAACGGGATTTCAATCTAATGTAAATCAATGCAACACATGTAATCCAAGAGCCTTCCAATTTAGTTTCAAGAGTCTTTCTGATAATAAGTCTTAAGCTCAGCATCTATCAGATGCTTCTAACGCTCCAGTAGGCATTGCCCTCCCCCTGTACAGCTCTGAAGTGGAGACCACTGTAACGTACTGCACACAGGTGTGCTACAACTGAAGGGCCTTTTTGCTTCAAGTGTCTTGCCTCAAGGTTACCCAGCATACTTGGACAAATATGAAAGGATTAGGCATATTCTTAAAGTTACAGCATACTAGAGGGCATGTAACTGTTTCCCCAGGTCAATAGCAAGGGTGTAGGCTCTTGTAGCTTGTCATAGAAGAGGATGGTGTCTGGAGGCTCAGGCTGCCTTTTTGTGCAACTCTCCCGCTCCTTTCTGATCAGCTTCTAACTGGTTCTTTTTTCCCACTGCACTCATGTTCTCCTACTCTCCTACAAGCAGTGCTGGAGATTGTGGTAGCCTGAATCCAGTTCTCCCTTTTCTTCCCATTGTTTCCCCGAATTTCATCTTTCTTTTTAAAGAGCAAGATTTATGGAGAAAGCTTGGAGTTGGGTGGAAAATCATTCTTCTTTGGCTGCTCAGTGACTTTTAAAAAAAAAAGTCAACTTCTTTTTTTTAATTTTTTGAGACAGTCTCACTCTGTAGCCCTGAGTACAGTGCTGTGACATCATAGCTCACAGCAGCCTCAAACTCCTGGGCTGAAGCAATCCTCCTGCCTCAGCCTCCAGAGTAGCTGGGACTACAGGTACCGCCACAATGCCCAGCTAATTTTTCCATTTTTAGTAGAGCCAGGGTCCCACTCTTGCTCAGGCCCACTAAGTCAATTTTTTTGTTTGTTTTGTTTTGAGACAGAGCCTCACTGTATCACCCTTCGTAGAGTGCCATGGCCTCACAGCTCACAGCAACCTCCAACTCTTGGGCCTAAGTGATTCTCTTGCCTCAGCCTCCCAAGTAGCTCGGACTACAAGTGCCCGCCTTTTTGTTATAGTTGTCATTGTCATTTAGCTGGCCTGGGCCAGGTTCGAACCCGCCAGCCTTGGTGTATGTGGCTGGCACCGTTAACCACTGTGATACAGTTGCCGAGACTAAGTTAACTTCTTGAAGACTGAGTGTTTTGGCAGTTCACACACAAAGTAATAAAATAGTAATAAAAATTGTCTCATTTTTGCTTTCCTTAACTTACCTTATTTCCTTGATTGAAAGTACAAAGATGACATCTTTCAAGCAGTGATCAGCACTGTCGCTCTTTCGAATCATAATGTTCCATGTTCTACAAATGATTTTGCTATTTATTTAGGGTGACCAGATTTTAACATTGGTTAAAGCTGGACAACATGGCCGGGGCGCGGGGGCGGGGGCGGGGCAGGGCAATGCAAACTTTGATAAGCAGTTCTCAATAATCACTTCTCAACAATTCCTATTATGACAGTTTAACATTATAAAATTAACAAAAATAAT